CTGGGGCCCCGAGGTGCGACAGGCCACACCCCGCCCGAGAAGAGGAAGTTTCTTTGCACTGATGACTTGGCACCTGATTATTGGGGTGCGCTGGGGTGAATTGGCGTCCCTGGGGATTGGGCAAGGCCAGGGGGTTAGGCACGCCCCAAACACTTGCTCCCACCTCGGGATTTTAACTGTCTTAAATGCCCAGACGCTAACGGTAACTGCGCTTTCATGCCCACCGTGTAGGTAATACGTGGATTTCACTCACCGATGAGCTGATGTTTTCTACCCGCATTTTGTAAATATATACAGGCAGATTTCTGAAATACTGTTTCTTTCCTTTTTTGTCTTGGCCCTTGTTGATTAAAGCATTAGCCATACTACAATGATCACATTAATTTGATTCTACTCTTTAATAGGCTTCCTGAGTAAGTACGGATCAGTGAATGTAATCACCATGAATCAGAATAATTTGTCTCATCCTGGGAGCTAAAGTTCATTTAACAGAGCTGAGGTTTTAGGCATTGGGAAGCTAAATTGATCATTGATTTTGATTGTTCATTTTTAATGAAATCATTTTTAATCAAATAATTGTCTGTCTTAAGGAGACACGTGGGGGGCGGGGCAGGGGGGACGAACCAAGGTGAGAGGAGCTTCGTGTGCTTTGGCATACAACCTGGTCTATTTGGTCACCACGATCACCTGGGTTCTTTGTGCCCCTTCATCCTTAGTGCACTTGATCTTCTCAGTGGCACGCATGTTGGCCTGAAGTCTGAAAAGGCATTCTTAGTTTTAAGGTTATGGATTATTTGGCTCAATTTTACAGGCATTCGTTAACAAGTGCAGTGTTTGGTAGTGTTAATGTTCCTTGGGTACTATTAGTGATATTAAAGGTATATTGAAAGTAAAATATATGGAACCCTTATCATGTACCAGATATTATAGTGTGTGTGCTATTCACAGCTACACAATTGTGACCTGTTTAAGGACCGCCTTCTTCCTCTGTGGCATCTTCTCAACTCACCTTTATACATAAGAGGTCCTAGAGCTACTCAGTGCAAAGATGCCCAGGGAAGGCGAGAATGAACTGGAGAGACTGGGTTCTTCCCAACCCAGCAGCTGGGCCTCCCCTTAAAAAGCCACCAAATTATTTCAACCATACTTTTCAGAAAAGAGGAGCCCGGGTGACATAGCGGTTACTCATTGGACTGCTAACCGCAAGTTCAGCAGTTCAGAACTATCAGGAGCTTCTTGGGAGAAAGATGGGGCTTTGTACTCCCTTAAAGAGTTATAGTCTCAGAAACTCACAGGGGCAGTTCTACCAGTGAGTCTGTTTGTTTTTCAGAAAAGGAAGTGGCCTTGGTGGCTCTGTGGCTTAGGCATTGGATTGCTAATCATGAGGTCAGTGGTTCCAACCCACCAGCTGTTCCATGGGAGAAAGATGAGGCTGTCTGCTCCCATAAAGATTGACAATTTCGGAAACCCTATATAAGATTACTAAGAGTCCAAATTGACTCCATGACAGTGGGTTTGTTCGTTTGTTTGTGGGGTACACAGAGAAGAATCGTGGCCTTTTAATGGGGTCTTATTTGCTTTCAATTCTGTGAAACCTACAATGCTGAGCTGAAGGTGTTTGTGGAAATGACTTTGGGCATCATAATCATCGTTATGAATTGCTACTATCCCTTGGAAGAGTCTTGTCATGCCATCAGTTTATGTTACAGTCTTTACTATGGCTTATGTTTCTGTACTAGAGGTTTTTATTTAGGGTGGGAAAATACTCTGAAAGGGAATTAGGCTTCTGGAATACATGTAAATGGAGGTTATATGAAAAAGTCCTTTTTGGTTAAGATAATAATACCCGGGGTAAGCAAAAAGTAATGGAACAAAATCCTAGAAACTTTTATTAAATGAAACTTTTCAAAATGTGAAGCTCTTAATTCCTGAGACATCCTCCTTCTAAGAAGGCTATACATTTCTGAAGTTGGTGCTTCCGCCTCCCTCAGTCTTTCCCCAAAGAGTTCTGTAGGCTTTGATTGACAAGGGGACAACATGGCAGTTTGGGCATCCTTGAGGAACTTCACCTGGCTGCCTTTTCAATGTTCTTTGAGGATTGGGAACGAAAACACAAAGTCTGCGGCAAGATGAGGGCTACAGGGTGGAGGGGGTAAGGTTTCCCACTGAAATTCTCGTAGGACAGCCTGGGCTCCCCTCAAAGAATGCAAAGACACATTGTAATGGTGGGGACATTTTTCTCAGCACAGCTTTCCTGGCCAGTGCTGGTTTCTCACCACTGTAGTTTTCTGGGGGGGGGTTTGGTTTTGATTTTTTAAGTTTCCGCCTGATAAATCCCTGTGATTGTCCTCTGCCCTTTGAGCAAATATACCTTTGCAATTAAAAAAAAAACATCGTCATAACCCTCTGAGCAGTGACTTCTCTCCGTTGAGATGAACTAGCCAGCAGATAGATTCCCCCCAGAAGCCGCTGTTCTGCTCAGACCTTTATTTTTCAGGCACCCTGACAAGACAAAGACCAGTGCATTGCTGAGAGAACTTGTCTGCAGCCATGCACTGATGAAGGAGACGTGTTTAAAGACATTTTGTTGGGGGTGAAAGCATGCACGTGTGAACTGGAACTGTGGCCGCTGTGGCTTGTGGACATGCCCTTGCAGGGCTCCTGCCGCTCTATTGGAATGGAAATGACTTCAGTCCTTGCCCAGTGTCTTGCCAACCTCGAAACAGTAAAGCCGCAGATGCTTTTCCGCTCCTCGACCAGCCATCCGTACAGATTACACATCTGCCCATTCAAAGATACGAGAATGGAGAAACCAAGCTTCCCTGTTCCTTTTGCTATTCGGGGGCATCCACTAGTGTGAGAAGTCAAGAATTGTGTATTTTCAGCTTGATGGTCTGCATTTCTGCTTCAGGAGCCAAAATGAGAATTTCGTTTGTGTGCACCATCCCCCGCCTCCCCCACACACCTTTTTTTTTTAAGAGACGGTGATACTTGCCACTGTGTACCTTGAATTTCAAGTGAAAACAGTAACCAGTTTTTTAAAAGATCTGCCTCAAAAGATTTTTGCCCATTTCCCCAAATAACAGAACCAAACCCACTGCCATTCAGATAATTCTGACACGTAGCAACCACAGGACACCGACCTTCCCTGTAGGGTTGCCAGACAAACTGTCACATCTTTTTCCTGTCAGGGGCAGTGGGGTTCAGACCTATCAACAGCTGAACGATTAACCACTGTGCCACCACGGCTATTCCAAAATAGTTATAAATCTAATGGAATAACAGAATACAATACATGTGATTTTGAAGCCCCAGATTCCAGGGGTTTGGCTCTTTTGCCTTTTCAGGTGACAGACTTAAGCAAGGAGCTGTTTTCTATAATACCTGCTTCCACGAATGAAGCCTTTTCACTCTCAATCCCCAGGGGCTCCGTGAGTAATTCACTCCACTCAATCGTAAAGCAATTCCAAGCCAGTGGTGAAGCTGACATATATTTAAGTGAGGGCATAGTAGTGGCCATGACAAGTTAGATATGTGGTGGTACCGGTAGATGGAGCAGTGGAAACCTTAATACTTTATATTTGGCACAATAGGTAAGAGAAAGCAGTTGTATTTTCTAGTGTCCAAAGAAGCATCATGAAAGACTTCCCGGTAGAACTATGATATGATGCAAGCATGGCTTTCGATTGTGAGTCCCTTGTAATAATTGTAAGCACAAATGCAGATGGTTGGAAGGAGGACTATATTGGTAGGTCTCCATGACTGAATGGGAAGAGTGGGCTGCTAATGGGAGGAGACGAAGCAAACTTCAGGTTTCTAATCTTGGTTACAGCTGACATCTGCAAATGTTGAGTGAGGGTAGTTGATTAGAGGTTGATAATTTTGTTGGCCGCTTGTGTGCGATAGAGGGTATATATAAGCTTTGTAATCAGATCAACCCAAACCAAAATCATTGTCATTGAGTCAAGGCCAATTCATAGTGACTTCACAGGACAGGGTAGAACTGCCCCTGAAAGCTTCTGAGACCAACTCTTCAGGAGAGTATTAGAATGCCCATCGTTCTCCTGAGGAGTGGCTGGTACTTTCAAGTGACTGCCCTTGCGGGTTACAGCCCAATTTTAACCCTCTGCCACCAGGGCTTCTGTAAGCAGACCAGTCCGTGTAAATCTGACTCCACAGTTTTCCAAAAGTGCTGTTGTAGACAATTTTTGTAAACTCTCTGGGTTTCAGTTTTCTCATTTGTAAAAGGGAATAAAATTACTGACATTGTATGAATTTGACAAAATTTAGAAATAAAAGAGTTGCCACATAATAGGTAGTTGCTGCTGATACCATATATGCTGTTTCCACTGTATTCCATTTTTCATGTTAAACTTAAGGTAGATTAAACCAAAACCAAATCTGGTGCCAACGAGTCAATTCTGCCTCATAGCAAACCCCTAGGACAGAATAAACTGCTCTAAAGAGTTTCCAACCCTGGACTGTATATGGGGGCAGATTGCTGTACCTTTCTCCCATTGCATGGCTGGTGGGTTTGAACCACTGACCTTGCACTTAGTAGCCAAATACTTAACCGCACACAACTAAGGCTGCTAAACTAGAATAAATTCAATGATATTCTATGATTTATGTATTCTGTTTCATTACTTTTCTTTGGAATGGGTACAAATATGGATCTCTTCCAGTCAGTTGGCAAGTAGCAGTCTTCCAAATTTCTTGGCATAGAAGAGTGAGTGCTTCCAGTGTTTCATCAGCTTGTTAAAAGTTTTCAATTGGTGTTCTATCAATTACTAGAGCTTTGTTTTTGGCTAGTACTTTCAATGCAGCTTGACTTTGCAGTACCATTGTTTCTTGTTCATATGCTACCTCTTGAAATAGTTGACTGTTGACTAGTTTTTTTGTACAGTGACTGTGTATTCTTTACATCTTCTTTGTTGGGTCCACCACTGACAGATAAGTGGCGGAAGCAGATTTTTACGAGGATTAGGCACTTTGTAAAAATTTAGAGGACTAGTAAATGATAGATATGTTTAATTCTCAATGTTTCTGAAATTAAGATATATCTTGAAAGAGTTTCTCTGAGACTTATTACTTCAGTTGGAATCCTACAAACAACATGTCTTCAAATGGTGGAAATGTGGTAGTTTATGTCTAGCTCTCTCTTACCATTCAGTTGTAAAAGCAAAGTCTGAATTTCCACAAGTTGGTCAGGTTTTTAGATAATTGTGGGGCCAAGACAACTAGGAAGACACTGAAATATGTGCCAAGTGATGGTTGAGTGAGAAATGAGAAATTGTGTTTCTCTCTCCAGACCATAGTCATCCAACAATCAGAAACATCTCAAGGAAACCAAAACCTTAACCCACTGCCATCTAATTGATTCCTCCCACAGCGACCCTGTGTGGGACTTCCTAGGCTGTAAACCTTTATTGGAGCAGACACCACCTCTAAACTCCTTGCCTTCTTGTCACTTCTGACTCACGGCGACCCTAGTCTCGTCTTTCTCCCACAGAATATCTGTGTACCTTTGGCAAGCAGCCCAACAATTACCTGAGAGGCCACTAGGACTGTTAGAAGGGCTAATTCAGGCCGACTCTTAAGGGTATTGTCTTCTAACCTATGTAACAAGCCCACCAGGTGTTTTTTGTTATTCTTGTTCAGAATGTACATAGCAGAACATACATCAGGTCAACAACTTCTCCTTCTACAATTCAGTGTCAATAATTACATTCTTCAAGTAGTACTACCATTCTTATCCTCCTTTTCCAAATTGTTCCTGTCCCATTAGCATAAACCCAGTTTCCTATCTAATCTTTTGAGTTGCTCTTGTCAGTTTGGGCCAAAAAGAACGCAGTACTCAAGGCAGACACTCTTTAGTAGTTAAACTAACTAATGATTTCCGATGCTCTGATAAAGTTTGAGGACTAGGTTATAGAGGCAGGAGGCCCTGACTGGTGCAAACAGTTAAGTCCTCCACTGATCACCAAAGGGATGGAGGCTAGAGGCCCCCAGAGGTGCCTGGGGAGAAAGGCTTGGTGGTCTACTGAAAAAGCAGCCACTGAAAATCACTCCGAGCCTGGTTCTGCCGCGACACCCACAGGGTCACCTGTGTCAGAATCGACTCCTGGACAACTGGTGTGCTTTGGGTTTCATTTAGAAGAAGGACGGTCACTGTGGCCGGCAGTTTCCTGGAGGAGGAAGAAGTTGAACAGGACCCTTCCGTTTGGAAGTGAGGTGACAGAGAGGTCTTAGCTGTGTGAGAACCCTACACAGTATTCAAGGACCATGTTGTGACCCTACACACTCGTCAAGGACAAGGCTCTAGTGATGCTTGTGTTTCACCACCTCCTGCATCTCCCCTTCTTGCCCGGGCCTTAGGTCAGGGCCTTTGTGTCTACTACTGTCCTATTAGTACAATATTGTCCTAACTCTCCTCCCTGTGTGCGTTCCCACATCTCCCCAACCTGCAGCATGCCCCCCCCCCGAACACACACACACACACACACACACACACACACACACACACACACACTGCTGCAACAGTGATCTTTCTAAAGCATACATCTGGTCATGGTATTTTCCTGGTACAGACTGATATGAGAGCCTGGGAGAGAGCTCCCTGTGTCCTTTCTAGAGGAATTTAGATTCAGTAGAGAACGCTGCACTTTGGATCAGACGCAGGCTGCCAGCGTCTATTCTCTGGCCTGCATGATCAGCTCCAGTGTCCTCAGGGGGGCTCTACAGCTTTTCACGATACAGCCCTGTTTTCTTCTCATGTCTTTTAATGGGTTTTTCTCACACTGCAAATGACACTGGCTGTGTTGAACAGTTTGTGTATGTTACCAGGTACTTCATGCAGCCAGGCCTTTGTGCTACTGTACCCCATCTTCCCACTGGGGTCCTTTCAGAGAAGCTTCTACATATGTCGTGGTGCAGCTCCAGGATCATTTCTTTTGAGCCAGAGCCTTTCCTGACTTCACAAGGTTAGCAAGGACCTTGCCGCCCCCTTTGTGTTTTATTCAGACTTACTGTAGCCTGCCTTCAACAGTTCCCACACACTTGTGTTCTGTTACCCACCCCCACGCCCTCCTTGACTAGATGAACTAACTTGAAGAAATGTGGTGTCCTATTCAGTTTTGTACCCTAGCTTCTACACATGGTTGGTGGAAATAAATGTTGGTTGAAGAAATGAAATTGTGAGGAAAACAAACAAACAAATGAACCAGACTTGAAAAAATAAAAATTAGCATCTTACTATCAGAAGATAGTAAGATCAGTTTGCTGGATGGTAAGTTCATTTAATGGAGAGTGGGAACTATATATGGAAAGATATTTTCCAATCAGATTATGGAGAATTTAAGTTAAACCTGCAAGTCTGAGCAGGAAAGATCCCAAGATAAATGGAGCCCTTTTTAAAAAACAGTTCAACACCTACCTGACAGCGCAGATTGCTAAAGGCAATCTAAATATTACAGGTTGCAGAAATATTTCAGACAGCAGAGATAGCAAAGACACCCTGAAGAGTCACGGCCAATAAACATTTGAGAATAGTCTGCAGTGAGAAAAGGCTAGTGGAGGGAGAAGAATAAGGAAGAAATGGAAGCATTCCTGAAAGGTACTTCAGATGCTGCAGGATGAGGGGAATCGGAATGAGCTCAAGGACAGTGGGCACACGAAGAAGAGGCTGCTGAAGGCGTAGAGATTCAGAATGTGCTTTGTGTAGCACTTTTCCAAGACAGCAAGTGTTTGCTGATGTCCCTACAACCACATTCTTCATTAATTTTGATGGCTTCATGTTGACTTTTGCCATCGGTCTGTGTTCAAGACCAAAGCAGGTCTACTCAGCATAGCCTTTAATAAGGGAAACCTAGGATTAGGGAAACTGGACATCACTGTCATTTCTAGGCACTGTTTTTGTTATACTTTTAGTATGAAAAGCAAATAAATGATAGGTGAAGTCCAAAACCTAACAGCCAGACCTACTGCCAGGGAGGATTTCCGAGCCTGTAAATCTCTGCTGGAGCAGGTAGCCTCATCCTGCCCCCACAGAGCATTATAGATGAATGAACATTGCTTACTAGAATAGAAAAAGAGGAAATTTTCAAGTATACAAAATCTGTGCCAGAGAAGCCCCAGCACGCTTATATAGGTGAGACATTGACCCACTGCTGCTGCTGAATGGTTGTCTATTTCTAAACTGACCCTCTAGGACAGTAGGGTTTGTAGGGTTATCAGTGCTATGTCTTTTTTTTTTTAAATCATTTTATTGGGAGCTCTTACAGATATTGTAACAACCCATAATTCAATTAGATCAAGCATGATTTTACAATTGCTGCCACCATCAGTTTCAAAACATTTTCTTTCGCCTTGAACTTTTTAATATCAGCTCCTTTTTATCCCCTCCCTCCTCCACCCTCTTCCCAGAAGACCTCATTATATTAATTTTTTTTCTTTTTCTTTTTTCCCCTCATCGTACACCATCCAGTGTATCCGTTCAACTACAATTCTGTTATTCATTCCCCTTGAGTGGGATTATACAGTCATTATTGCTATAAATTTCATCTTCCCCATCTTCCCAGCCCCCCTCTTCCCTCACCCTCAGGGAATCACTACTCCCGTTACTGTTTCTGAAGGGTTTATCTAGCTTGGATTTCATTCATCGAGTGATCTTAATTATACAAATGAGCATACGCAGGTCTAACAAGATTAATGAGGTAAAACTAAGACCATAATACTAAGGGGAGGAAATATTAAAGAACTAGAGGATGGTTGTGTGTTTCATCAGTACTATAAGCAACTACCTCAACCCTCCTCTCCTGAGTGATGACTGATGGGTTCACACCATCATCCTTACAGTTAGCAACTGAAACTTAACCCTTTGTGCCACCAGGGATCCTTTGAACCCTGACACAACCTCAGAATTATTAACATTGTTTATGGAAGCCACTAAAACTTTAAGGCAGTTAGTATCGGATATAAACTAACTTACTATTCATTTTAGATGATGTTCAAAAGGTAAAAATACTGTGATTTTTTTTACATAAAAATGTGATAAAATAAAAATATGTAATTTTTTTTCACTCCATTCTGATTTTTTTAAGTTACTAAAAATCTCAAATCAATGGTTTTAATATGCTCATTACTTATCCTAGATATACTACTCAAAATCTTAATCATGGTAAGATACTTCATATCATCAGAAACCAAACTTACAATAAAACCATTATTGGTCAAGGGAAGAAAGAAAATCAAGTAAAAATCAAGGCATACATTGGTTCACATTTATCAGAAACCTCTGTCCATTTTTATCTAGCTTCTTAGTTTCTTTTCTTTATTTCACAAATATTTACTAGCTACCCACTACATATGGTAGATGACAGAGAGCCATCAGAATAAAACTGGCAAAACCTGTTCCTCCTCTGGAGCTTACTTGGGTTTTTGTTTGCTTAATTTATATGCAGCCTCAAAATTTCTCAGGTTCTCCAGCCTTAACAGCACCACCATTTAAAATGTTGTGTGGATTTCCCTTAGGGATGAGTTACTATTACCAGCAATGACCTTAAACAGCAAGGTTGTAGTAGAATGTATGCTGAAGTGGGAATCGCCTGGTCTGGCTACTTTTCCAGACCAGCCTTCAGATTCCCTTATTTAGATTCTACAGTGTCTTGTGGACCAGTGTATACTTTGTATCAATATACTTTGTACTTTGTATCAATATAAAGTGCGAAAAGGAATGCAAAGATACATGAAAACAATGTTATATGTAATCATACTTTTTTTTTATCAGAAACCCTAATGATGAAAAATATAGATCTATCCGGATTGGAAACACAGCTTTTTCTACTAGACTCTTGCCTGTCAGAGGAGCTGTGGAATGTTTATTTGAAATGGGATTTGAAGAAGTAAGTATGTTCAGTTGTTTTCTCTCCCTCATTATACAAAGCATTCTGTGCAATGTTGATGGGTCATCGAGTGAGATAGTGGTGTGGTTTTACTGTGCCTTTTAAAAGACACACTATCAAGCTTAACTCCTGTGCCTGCAGTTATAATCCCACTCGGCAATAGATTCCTTATGTGAATGAGGTAGATTAGTATAAGGTGTGTTTAATTAAGCCAGGATGGCTTGTAGTACACACGTGTGTTAAAAGCATGTGAAACTGTTCTGCGTAGATTTGTAAGCAAGCCCTGGCATACCCTGCTTCCAGGGCACTCCATTCCTACCAGGAAGTGTGAGCTTGAGAAGTTCTGATTCTCTGGGAAGGTGGCGTGTGGTTCGGAGATGCCAGCCGTTCCTGGAGGCAGAATCTTTGATGTGGTGACAATACTGAAATTGAATGCCCATGCTTGCATGCATATGGGGTATTCCACCACTACTCTTAAAACAATTTTTTCTCGAGATCTGAAAGAGTAGACTAAACAAGCAATGATGCAAGCAACCATGAATAAGGTGAGATAGATTGCACACCACGGAGCGCTCCAAGGAGCCAAGAAGCAGAAGCTGAGACAAGACCAAGGCCTCCCCCAGAGCCCCAGAAAGAAAGCCTTCCCTAAAGCTGGCGCCTGGAATTTGAATTTGTAGCCTCCTCAACCGAGAAGATAAATTTCTGCTTGTTGAAGCCCCCCCCGCCCCCCCATTTCTTTTATTTCTATTCCAGCAGCATGAGAGCACTACAACAGAGAGAAAAATCATTCTGGGGAACCTGTGGAACTAGTTGTTTCTTCACCTGTTAATCATTTAAAAGTTACAGCGACTTTTATTGTAGAATCATGCTAAATTCTTAACAACTCTACCACAGGGGGGAAAACCATCTCCATCTTGTAAAACCATAGGGTCTATCTTGCAACCCAAGGACCATATGTAGTTCCCTTGAGACGCAACAAAAAAACCTAATGTGAGCACACCTGAGTACTAATACTTTACAACCGCCTGCCACCGTTAAGAAATGGAAAACATGTGATGTAAATATGGAAAAGCTGAGTTCATTTCCAACACAAGAGTTCTCCTCTGTGACCAGAGAGAAGGGTTAAAGTGGTTTTGTTTGTGTATTTTGGGTTAAAAAAAAGGTTGGTATATCTGTCTTCTGGAATCTTGTGGTGTGTACGTCACAACGTAGTTTAATATTATGATATGATACAAGTAATTATCAAGGATTGTTGAATTTTTTTCCCTCCTTATATGTTTATTTATTTCTTTTCCCTTCCTTATATGTTTCACCACATTTGGTTTATGCAGTACTGGAGGCAATTGAACCAGGCCAATGACACAACATAGTCTTTGCTCAGGAGAGTCAAGGCTGTAGGAATCATGAAAAGTGATGTGTTGAGCTGCAACAGGACACACTTTCCCTCCCATCACTCTGCTTTCCTTCAGGCCCTGGAGATATGGTGGTGAATTAGATCGCTCCGGATCCCCGGTCCCATTTTAAACAGGCAATAGATACATAAACAAAGAAAGGGTGTGAAGAAGATATTAAGACAGTCATGCAAGAAAAGGCTGGAGTGGCAGGCAGCTGCTTTTTAATGAGTGGTCAGGGAAACCTTTTTCTGAAGAACTGGCATCAGAGGTGGAACTGACTGACAAGCAGCAGCCAGCTGTGCTAAGGTCTCAGGTAAGAGGAGTGGCATCTGCCAAGGACTCTGGGCAGGAATGCCTTTGGCATAGAAAGTACCTGCGAAAGCATGTAGAGGCCAGAACATTGGGGGTGGAGGTGGAGGTGGAGGGCTATGGACTTTATTCCAAGTGAAATGGAAGGCATTGCAAGGTTTAAGGAGGGAAAAATATATTTAAGCTCACTGGCTATTGTAAAGAGAATATATATAGAGAGAGTTCATATATTTAATATATTAAGTACATATATATGGCTTCAAAAAGTTCATGGAAAATGGAATTAAACTGATGGAGTTTTCACACACACTTTAGAATAGGATGAAGGCAAGGGATGAAGCAGGGAGATGATGAGAAAGCTTTTTGTTTTCATCTAGATTTGAGACTAGTGGTTTGTATACGCTCTTAGGAGGAGTGAGTTTTTTTTATTTCTTTTGTTCCCTGTGTTAGTAGCTCCTAAAACAGTGCTGGTGCATTTAAAAACCAAATGGAACTAATTGTCATCAAGTTGTTTCTGTCTCAGGACAGCCCCTCACATGCCAGAGTGCTGCTCCATTGGGCTTCAGAAACAGATCACCAGCCCTTTCTTCTGCGGTTCCTCTGGTTCAGTTAGAACAGTCAGCCTTTCAGTGAGATTGACATTTAACCATGTGCACCACCCAGGAAGTCTTGCTGGTGCATTTAGGCACTCTAAAGAGGCATTTGTTGATTTAAAGGTTGACAGTCATTGAGGTGGAGAAAATGGGTCCAGGATTTATTTTTGAAGCACACCCAACAGGCCTTCCTGGAGGAATCGGGGAAAACCTCTAGGTTTCGGTTTAAGCAACTGAGTGACAGGAGTGCCCTTAATCGAGATGAAGAAATCCTAGAAAATAGCAGGTCTCAAGGGAGCAGTCGCTACACCACCAGGCTCCTTGAAGGGAAAAACTGTGTATGTGACCCAAATTTAACTTCGCAGGGTGGTTCTCAACTGGAAGCAGCGAGGGAGTGCCTGCCCTCCCCGCCCTCCTTGTGCCTTTGTGAAGACGGGTAACTGGAAATGGGTGGCAGCAGTTTTGATTGTCCTACTGAAGGGAAGTTCTTACCAGTATTTCGTGGGCGGTGGTCAGGTGTGCTGCATACCCTACAATGAGAACGGTCTCACCAGAAAGCCTCTTTGGGCACCGCTGAGTCTGTTCCGACTCACAGGAACCCTGGGAGCACAGAACGAACCCCACCTGGTCCTGTGCCTCCTCACAGCCATCGCGCTGTTTGAACCCATGTGGCAGCCTCGGTGTCCATCTGTCTTGTCAAGGGTCATCTTTTCACTGACCCTCCACCTTACCAAGCGTGATGTTCTTTTCCATGAACTGATCTCCCATGATAACCTGTCCCAAATATGTGAGAGGTGCAGTCTTACTCTCCTGGCTTTTAAGGAACATTCTGGCTATACTTCTTTTATTTTATTTTTTGTCGTTGTTCATGTAACCACAGACATCACCATATCCAAATCTTCATTTCTCTAGGACTTTGCTAGAATATAAGTTCTTCACTGGAAGAGTGAGACATCTAAAACCGATGTATGCATTCTCCTGGCATTTTCGGTGTTATTTACATGTATCTGAGCCTTTCTTTCTTTGTTTACAAAGTAAATGAATTCTTTTTCCAGGCTATTTTAGCTAAGTACCATAAAATGGGTGGCCGCAAAGGATGAATTCTCACATTTTCTAAGGGAAGAACCTTCCTTGGGGGCCTCAGTTGTTCAGTGCCTTGTGGCAGAGTAATTCCTTTCTCTATTTCTGTCCTCGTGTGGCTGTCTCTGCTCTGTGTACCTCTTCTCCTCTTACAGGATGCCATTCCTACTGGTTTAGGACTCACCCTACTCCAGTATCATGTTAATTTAAAGCATCTTCAAAGTGTCGATTTCCCAAGAAGGTCACGTTCACACAGATACCAGAGGTTAAGACTTTGGTGTGACTTTTTGGAGGTTACACAATTCAGTCTTCATAGCCTACTGAAAGCCAAACCACTACTATCAATCAACTCTGATTTGTTTGGTTTTTGGGGTTGTTTTTTTTTTTAAATCATTTTATTAGGGGCTCATACAACTCTTATCACAATCCATACACACATCAATGTGTAAAGCGCATTTGTACATTCATTGCCCTCTTCAGTCTCAAAACATTTCCTCTCCACTTAAGCCCCCGGCATTAGGTCCTCATTTTCCCCCTCCCTCCCTGCTCCCCCCTCCCTCATGAGCCCTTGATAATTTATAAATTATTATTTTGTCATCTCTTGCCTTGTCCGACGTCTCCCTTCACCCACTTTTTTGTAATAGCCTTATAGGACAGAGTAGATGTCCCAGACGGTAAAAAGAGCACCCTAAGGAACAGTGTAAATCTGAAAGCAGGCGGTTTCGTTCCTCTCCTGTGGAGTGGCTGGTGGGGGTTGAACTGCTGACCTTAATGGTTAGCCCCCCAGCTCTGAACTATATCACCAGGTCTCCTTTTCCCATCACAGTGGGGAGAATGTCATCTGACCTTTCAGGATGATATAGTTACTGTAGGTAATGTCTGTAAAATGTTTAGCACAGTGCCTAGAACACATGAATAAACAATTGACGGAAGTAGTTTTTGTTAACAGTTACTGTTAGGTGCTCTTGAAGCAAGTTCAAGGCATAGGGACCCCACGGGACAGTAACCCTGGCACATAGGGTTTCTCCCTGGAGCCACAGAGTTGGTTGCAACCAGCAACCTTTGGGTTAGAAGCCTAGTGCTTACACTGTTACGCCACTGGGGCTCCTCGGAGGGGTACGCTGAGGGACTTTGTGACCTCTTGCTGCTTCGTTAGAAGGACTCATGTGAAATTGGCTTTCCTGTCATTCATACCAGTGATTCACACTAGGTGTGAATCTGCCATCACTGGGAAATAAGGCCATTCTCAAATGTGGAGTTTAGTTTAAATGCTCGCAGTTTACACGTCTATCTACTACTTGGTGTCACTACCTGTTTTTCTCATTTTCAGTCTAGGAATTACGGGGTTTTTTTTTAGCACGATTGCTTTTCAACACCTGTGAAACTTGATAGAATATATTTTCATTTGCTATTTTTACATTATAAGTTTTGTTGTACTGTTTATCTTAAAGTGCTGTAATAATTTTATCAGTATTATACTTAGAGCAGCGGTTATCAACCTGTGGGTCACGACCCCTTTGGGGGCCGAATGACCCTTTCACGGAGGTCGCCCAATTATTCATAACAGTAGTAAAATGACAGTTATGAAGTAGCAACAAAAATAATTTTCTGGTGGGGGGGCAATCACCACCACATGAAGAACTGTATTAGAGAGTCACGGCATTAGGAAGGTTGAGAACCACTGATTTAGAAGATTAACATTTGTTGGCTTTGTTTTTATGTGGCTTTGCTTTGAATGTTCCCCTTGTGCATTATTGTTCACAACCCATAGTTTCAAATTCCGTAGCAGGGTATATATTTTGTGATCTTGGAAAAATTCATTAACCTCATGCACTGACTTTTGGTCATGTAGGGATTCTTTAAAAACATAGATTTAGGAGATCCAAAGGTTGTTGTTTTAACTTCTGATTGATTTTATGTTACCCCCTGATCCTTTTGTATGGTTGTATCTCTAATACAAGGAGACTTCAAAAAGTTCATGGAAAATGGAATAAGAAGACCATGGAATTTTTCTATGGTTTTAAAGTTCTTGTGCCCCATTACTATGTGTCCGAGAGAATAGTTATGTCATGTACTATACTATTGCAGAGAAAAATGTGCATTTTTGCAACTATTATTCCTAAAAGTAGAAAGACGAGGCTTTCTACTCCAAGTTCTGTAAGGTCGCTATGAGTTGGCATCAACTGGATGGCAATGAGTTTGGTTTGGGGGTATTCCTAAAGGAGAAAATATTTTCCTAAAAGTCCTTTGAACCACATTCAATAAATATTTCATGCCAATAAGAAGACCATTTTCTTATTGGGGGGTATACATATAGGCAATATTTCCCTTCATATGAAAAGACTGTTTTAATGGTAAGTAAGCAAGTGACTATTAAAATGTCATATTCTACTCCATTGGTTTATTATATTTATGAGAATGACTTGTAAAAAAAAAAAGTTCAACTTTTTCTAATTTTCCAAATTTCAGGGAGAAACACATCTTATCTTTCCTAAAAAAGCGTCAGTGGAGCAGCTGCAGAAAATCCGTGACCTGATTGCCCTAGAGAGAAGCAGCAGATTGGATGGATCAAATAACAACCCCAAAGTGGAGTTATCTCAGCAGCCCGCATCCAGCACCCAGCTGCCCGCAGCGCCATCATCAGATCCTGTTGGGTTAATGCAGCACCCAGGGAACAGTCAGGGGCAGCCACCAACCCCGCTGTCTGTACCAACGGTAATGCACAGTTACGTCTTCCTCCAGAGTTTGAAACAGCAATCACTTTGGAATATGTTATCACTTACTCCTGAGTTCATGCCCCACTTTTTCATCATTCTCAAAGCGCTACACATCCAAACTGCCTCGCTGTTTAAGAAAATGACAAATTTGTAACTCAAGTGGGGAAAAATGACATTCTCTTCTATTATGTATTTCTAAAGTGGTGCAGGCTTTTGTTTAATTTATTATTTATAAGTGTACCTGTTGCCTTGTTTCTAAATCACTGATACAAGTTAGCACACGTCTTGAACTCTGGTAGTGTAATGGGTTAATAAGCATTTGGCTGCAACCACCTGGTTGGCTGTTTAAACTCACCAGCCACTCCACTGGAGAAAGATGAGCCCATCTCTTCGCATAGAGTTTCAGTCCGGAGACCTTGGGAAACAGTTCTGTTTTGCCAGATAGTGTCTCTGGTTGTGGGAATTGACTGGAGAACAATGGGTTGGTTTTCTGTTAGCCTTAAAGTAATGGACTTGCCGGCACCAAAGTCATCTTCTCAAAGGACAAATTAGACCTCCTTTACTACATTGGCACTTGTACCCGCTGCCATCCACCATGGGTTACTCTTTCCAGTTGAGCTAAGTGCAAGGTAAATGAGGCATTGATATTCTGATAGTGGATGCTAGCACCTAGTGAAGTTTAGCTGTTCATGTACACCAAGCAGAATGAATGCACCTTCGGGTCACTTCCTACTCAGAATGATGCATGGGACAGAATAGACCGTCCCTGTGAGTTTCTGAGGAGGTCAATCTTTACAGGAGCAGAGCGACTCATTTTTCTCCCATGGAGAAGCTGGTGGGTTCAAATTGGTGACCTGGCTGTTAGTGGCCTAACACGTACCTCGCTTTGCCCCCCGGTTCCCTTTATCATTCACTGAACTGTACTGTTAAGGACATGAAATCAAACTTTTGATGCCTTGCAATCATTTTTGGAACACCTCCGTGGTCGTGTTGTTGTTCGGGGCCATGGGGTCAGTTCCGACTCACAGCTCCCCTCTGCACAACAGAACGAAGCGCGGCCAGTCCCGGGCCACCTTCGTGAGTGCTGCCGGGCTGAGCCCGTTGCAGAGCCCCCGTGTCAGCCCATCTTGTCTAAACCATCTCTTAAATCTCCAGCTTTATCTTCTGCTGAGTCTCCGTAGTCACAGCTTTGAAGCTGTTACTGAAGCCATGATACTAACTAGTTTTATGAGAAGGCACAAAAACATCTTGTTTTATAAAATAACTTGTTTGAACCAAGTAACTTGTTAGTGTTTTGGCTCAGGAAATCCATTCACATTCTTTGTGAATCGTTGGCTTCCTTTGAAATGTTGTCAGTCATCAAAAAAGCCTCACACATGCCAGTAAAAACAAATGCCACTCTGTTGCCAAAGCAATTTAGAGTTTAGAACGAAAATAAAATAGTTTTCTCAAAGATTTTTACTCTTTAGTTGTTAATGTATAATTAGCTCTTATTATACTAGTCTTTGAGATAGAATATCTTTTTCTGTATTTCTTAAAGGGGTTGAAAGAAATTATAATAAATCTTGTTCTTTTTTTAATAGCCAATTTTTGATCATCTGTGAATCACTTGAATACACAGTTTTAAAAAACAGATTAAATTTGCACCATTACTAGTTACTGTATTGCAGTACTTAATGGTTACAACCTCTGATGTGTATGTTTTCAGTGGTAAACTAATTAAAAATGAAAATGAACCAAAGATTTTAAAAACAAACAAAACATTTAACTTGGATATAAACTCGTTAAATCCTAAACCACTGGTCACAATATTTTTCTGGTTCAGAAATGTAAAACAAGGTGTTACTCATTGATATTGAAGTTTACCTGTAATCTTTTTCTTACAGGAAATGAAACTCAAAAAAATGATGATGCAGGTTGTTAGAAAGTTATTTGGGGAAGTTTTGTTCTATTCGGCATACAGAATTTACTCGTGTAGCTAAAGGGATAGGCTTATGCGTTTTTTCTTTCAGTAAGGACATTCGAAGTGCAAGTAACCAAGGCTGCATTTCTGTTTTGGTATCTCATGTCCGCTTTTGGCCTCTAGCGGAGTTTTTGTAAAAAACGGGGGCTTCCTATCCACATCCTACCAGGCTGTTCAACAAATCGTGTCAGAATCTTAGTCCAGTTTTAAACTGTTGTCTTTATTGTGAGCCACGTGCAGTCTTTCTTATTATATGTTGACTGAGATACAACACAGTTAAAGCAAAAGAATTGCTATTTTGTCATTCTGTTGAAGAGATCTAGAATGAAGCAAGAAAACGAACCAGCAAAGCTGTTAATTATTTGCTGGAGTCGCCGTGACTGTGACTAGCTTGGGTCAGTCCAAGCATGCCAGAGGCGTCTCTTCAATCAATAGCAATTCAGAAGTGTGGTGGCTTTAGGCAGGAAAGTAGGTTTTATATTGACTGCGGTCATCGATACTATGAGCGTAAGTCAAAAAGTATTCCTATCCAAGTTTCCCTTTTTAAATGCATGTCTTTATTCCAAATAAAACATGTAAACACGTCTCTCTGATCGGTACTGGCTGAAGGCAAGTTATCTACATAATAGATTTACCTTATTCTCAGTTAGGGTGCCTTCGGGGGGATGGGAGGAGGGAGGATGTTTTTTGTGCCATGGAAATTGAAGTAAGGGCTCATGTAAATCGTTAGCAACTGAAGCGGACCTCTTCCCAAATCAGCAAAACTTTGCAACAAATGCACCTGAATGCTGCTCCAAATCAAGCAATAGGTTGGAGATGAATCAAGCATCTTAAGGAGGGTTGGGAAGACCTCAAAGATGAGCCAGCTTGTGACTGCCACTGCCTTCTGGGAGCCGTGTGGGAGAAAGGAGGGGAGGAGAAGGTCTCTAACATAGTGTATACACGTTCTTGCTCAGCGTAGGCCCCTTGCGTGCAGCCGTGTTTCAGGTCCTCCCTTTACAAGCTCCTTGTGTTGTTACTCTTTGGAGAAAAGGACTTGCCTTCTTCTGAGAGGTGGAAAGTGAGCAATCTGCCTGCTGTGCTGAATGGATAAGGGATCTGGGGCTGTGCACTCATTCTTAAATATACTTCCAAGCAATCTTCTTATTTTGGGCGCCCCTTCACCCGTATCTCAGAGGTACCACCTGTTCCTGAGGAGAGTTTGTGTTCTAAATCAGGCTGATTTTCAGCTTTCAGCATGGCTGGTACACACCAACAACCCAAAGCAAACCGACTGCCATCAGGTTGATGGCACCCTGTCAAAACTCCCCCTTTATTGTTGTCTTTTCTCTCCTTTTCTTGTGACTCATACCTGTGAAGGATATGCCTTTGCTTTCATTTAAGTAAACCCTAGGATTTGGGATGAGAATGGAGCTACAGCTGTATGCATTTTAAATGGAGTCTTTAGCAACTCGAGGTTAGAAGTGGTTATTTTGTGGGTTACAAAGACCGATTTATGGAACAAAGAGCAGAGTAGATTTGTCACTTGAGGCATTAAACCTGTCACGTAGCAAGTGAGTGTGCCTATCTAGCTGTGTGTGTCCTAAAAACATTGCAACAGACCGCAACATGGTCTTCCATTGGAAATTCAAGATTTTAGCATTCGTTTTCTTCCTGCTGACCAGAATACCCAGAGAGGTACTTCTCAGTTTCTGGCCCTTAGTTTCTGTTAGCATTGCATTTTCAGTTTTGTATGGCAAAGGTTACCTTAGTGCTATGAGTTGCTGTTCACTATCATTAGAAAAGCAGGTGCTCTTGAGCTGACTGACTCACGGCCACCCCACGTGTATTAGAGGAGAACTGTGTTCCGCAGGATTCTCCATGGCTAATTTTTCACAAGTACATTGCCAGGCCTTGTGACCCTTCAATGCTTTGGGTTCCCTTGGTGTTGATTAGTAGGAAGTCCATTGTTTCCCATAGACTTTCCTTCTCAGTGACCCCTGCTTGTCGTTTTGGGGTATGGGATATGGGTAGGGAAATGCTGGGAGTTTTCTCACAAAGACCCCGAGCTGTTAATTGCATCTCTGAGATTCTTCTGCTCTGGTGCTCACTGCTCTCCCCGTCTCTCTATTCCATTGGCTGGTATCCTTCTGCTGCCCTGAGGTTACCACCTAAAGACTACGGCCATGCTGTGTCAGCCTCCTTTGGCTCAAGCCAAGTGCCCTGCACCTCTTTCTGCTCTCTTTCAAAGAGTGTTCCCATCACAGAGCTATTGGAGCCACATTAAAAAGGCAGCCCTTTCCTTTTCTTCCCAGGGCAGGTGGAAGTCATTAGGGAAAGCCTCTTGAGGAACACTGGACCCACCTTTCAAACTTTACTGGAATTTCTGTTAGTAATTTTTAGTGGGAAAAGTATAGCCAGAGGTCACATTCATAAACTCTCCGATATAAAAGAAACAATTCCATTTCATAATTGAAATAGTCTCTTTGGCACTCGTCTTTATAACACGTCTCTTTTAATTTTTTTTTAATGCTGAAAAAACTTTATGGGAATATTTCAGGCCCTGGTTAACAGTAGGTGATGTCTCAGAAGAAAGAGTGTTTGTGGGTGGGGCAGTTGCTAGATAGAGAAAACAATTGATAGTCCCCTATGGTGCCTAATAAAAGAAATATAACAAAAATGTAAAGGATATTACAGTTTTGTTGTTAAATTTACTTCCTTCTCTAACTTTGTACTTATTGCACATACAACTGCTTAACATTTAAGGATTTTTTTTTTAATAGCAGTGGTTTTCTCAAGTCATTTTGACCATCTGTACCTATTTTTGTAAATAAAGTTTTATTGAAGCACATCCATTCTCTATATTTTCTATGGCTGCTTTTATACCACAGCAACAGAGACTAAGTAGCCTGCAAAACCTGAGTGAGTTTTTTTTTAATTCTTATCCAAAAACATTTTAAAATAGGGTTCGTTTTTATATTCAGAGTAATAAATAAGCAGTTTGCCTAAACTTAGTGGTGATTCTGCAGTGTGCCTTCTCCTCCTAATGTGGCTTT